AAAATATTCTGGTTGAATGATGTTTACTATTCCCTGTAGGTTGACTTGTATGAGAATTAAATGAACTGTAATTTATATTAAATAGTCACATTTTCACATGAAATAAGCTTTTCATTGAAAGACAAAAAGTCAAATCATTTACAGTTTAAACCATTTTTTTGTTTCATTTTTCATTGCTTTGTGATTCCAAACTCTTTTTTTCACCCATTCTTGCTCGTCTTTACCAGATTATTCTGATCGTGAAATAATCAGTATTCTGTGAATAATTTTCCCAACTAATATTAATTTAACTTTTTATAATCATCAGTGAATGTTAATAAAACTCGAGCAAATTACGAAAATGCTTTTTGTCTTTTTTTTCCTTCAATCGTTTGTTGGATAATTTAATAACAGGGTTACATAATTTATATCATTTGCTAGATAATATCATTGAATGTTAATATTTTTTGTCTTTAGTTTTGCATACCAAATGAATGGAATCAGTTTAAAGCAATTTTTTTCGCCAAACATGAAATTCTGAGATTTTTGTACAAAATTTTGTTTCTCCATTCAGTTTCATCAGATAACAAAGAAAAGTTAGACTTTGATTAATCTAATTGGAATAAAAAGTCGGAGAATGTTTTGCAAAATTTTTCAGTCTAAATTATTCATTTCATTGGGTAAATTTTTAATGTCATTGGCTGAGTTTTGTGGTGAAGCTTGAAAAAGTGCAGACTGAAGTTGCTGGATACTGAGCATGTTGCAGTTGTAAATGATTGTCAAGATTAAATGGGGAAATTTATTGTGAGAAGAAAAGGTTTTTGCGACGGAAAAATATGAAAATGATGAATGGAAAGAGATAAAGGATGAAACAGAGTTGGAAATGGGAATCCGATAGGATAAAGGATTCTCTTATTGAAAGACATTTCTGATAAATTAACCAGATTGCAATGGTAAGGAAAGAAATTGTGAAGAGAGAAAAAAAGGTTAATATCGATGTAATTCATTTAACATGACACTGAACACATTGACATTATTCTGACAGAAATGTCAGCTTACGAATCAACATAAAGGTAGAAAAGGGTTTCGAGTTTAATTGAGAGTTTGATTGGGAGTTAATATGCAGTTGGCACAGGGAGTTGTACTGGGAGTTCACTGGGAGTTTAGTTTATAACAAGTTGATATTATAATAAGAGCATAAAATTTCTTTGCTAAATAAAGGAAAACAACTGAAATTGAACTTTTCTAATCAACATTAAGATGTATACTATGCGGATGACATTAGTTATGTTATTGTTTTCATTTTTTATCAACATTATTGCAATTAAAGCCATTATCATTATAATTATTGATGATCCGTTTTCTCGTTACTTTTTCTTCCATTATCATGATAATGTTTTCAGACACAATTTCATATTGTTTTATTACATTTTTTTCTGTTGTTTCTTAATTATTCCATCATTCTATTTGCGTGTTTTCTTAACTATTATCCTATCATTAGAACCATTATGGTAATGCTTGTAAGACATTAAAAGAAAAGAAAATTAAAACCATTTTAACCTCAAAATTATTAGCTGAAAGAAAATAGAAATTCATGTAAAATTCTTTGATAAATTGAAGCTGTTTGAAGAAAGAGAATCGAAATTTTCTTTAACAATTTTTCAATGAATTTAATACTCGATTCTGGCTTTTCTTATCTTTGCATTTTCTTTCTGTTGGTGAGTTATTGCAAGTTGAAGACAGGTTGAGCAATTTGAATATTCATCTGAATATGAATTAATGTGAATTGGAAAGCTAATTTTAGACACTTTCGATGTTCAATTATTTGGAGAAATTTTGTTTTTCTCTTTTGACTTGGGAAGACACATGGAATGGTATCAATTTATTCAATTACAAGACTAGAAGAGGTTGAAAGACAAGATTCATTTTCAGTAAAAGCATGGCTCAACATTGAATCGTCATTTTACTATTGAAGTGATTTTTTCTTCTTCTTTCGTGTTGAGAGTTTTTGCTGCTCTTTGATTTGTCATTTGCATTTTATCAAGTGAACAGTTGAAAGTTACCAAGTTTAATTAACTGTTAACTTGGTCAAGAAAATTGTTCATCATGAAATGGACAAGGCAAAAAGTGGAGGAAAAAAGAAGGAAGAAAAGGGCAAGAAAAGTTTAACCTGAAAATCATTGAGACATTTAGATGGATTCACATTGACAGTTAATTAGAATCAATTGTTCAAGTCAAATTGATTGTGGCTCAACAGTCTAATAATGAGTTCAACACATTCAACACTTCAACTTTCATTTATAATGAAATTTATCAACTCAAACCGTTTCAACAATTTGGGATAAAAGTTGAATCAACATTTTCGCCTTTTAATTGCCATGCCGAGACAAAAGCAAAAGGATCAAATAATTGAAAATAATTGAAAAATTTTGGACAAAAAAAGTTCGAATCGAAAAGATTATAAAATTTTATCCAAAAAGATAAGAGAAAAGAGTAAAGAGAAAATCATCTTTTCCTTTCTTGACCGATTATCCGTAACCAATAAGGCTTCCAGACTCACCAATCTGTGTGATCCTACAAAGTTGGTCTTTTCACTGTTAGATTATATTATCCATCAGACTATGAGAAAACTGAAGAAAGGCAAAAAAGCCTCAAGGATAACTTGAAAAGAATTGGATAAACTGAAACTGAAGAAATAAGTTCATTTCTTTTGACCGGGAATCGATGGATTTGCATCAGAAAAAAGAAGAAAAAAGTTGCGTCGAAATTAATCAATTGAATTTTGAAACAAACTTTATTCATTTTTGTCAGAAGAAAAGCCGGAAAATCCGATTATTAATATATTGTTGTCATGAGATGAAATGCTGGTAAAGTGAAAATTGATAATCGATAGTTTTACCATTTGATACATTTTTCTTCAACTCTTATTGTTATTCAAATTGCAACCTTTTTGTCTTTTCCCTCAACCAGAGTCACCTTGTCTTTCACTTTTGTGGGCACCTTTTGCCTCGAGAAAATTGAAATTGTCCAATAACTTGACATTTTTGATTCAACTGAAACTTAATGGAAAAAGGTTGGAAAACTTGAAAAGAAGAGAGAAAAAAAACTGATGACCAATGGAGAAACACAATTTTACCTTTTTTTTTCTTCACCAACTTTCCATTCTGTGGTTTCCACTACTGAATATTGACTTTGATGATTACGAAGAGAGATAAAAATGAAACAAGATGTTTACATGATCATGAATTTGAAGAATGGTCTTTATACATTTCATGACAATCATTTTCATTCTTTCATCATCTTTCGCTCTTTGCACAAATAATCTCAAAGGAATTTTCATCTTCTCCTTTTTTTCAAGTCATTTTTCTTTTCTTACCAAACTTTTTCCATCATCCATAATGACATGATAAGGTTGGCAAGAATCACATGAAGAAGGAGAAGAAAAAAAGAGTAAAACTGAACAGCAACATGAAACTAGAAAATGGAGCGAATAAATTAATCTCTTTTGTGATTTAATTTCAACTTTTCCAGCAAAAAAAATTCTGTCCCTTCATCAGAACATTTTCCCTATTCAACTCAAATTATCGCATTTGTTACTTTTACTGTTGACCAAAAGTTGACTTACAATTAGTTAATTCACTTGGAAAACAGTTGATCTCTTCTTTCAACTGATTTATACCCTTTTGTTTTCTGGTGTAAAAACTGTTGGCTTCAAGTTTCAAGGTTTACATGATTGAACACTGAATCGAGAAATGATTGAACACTGAATCGAGAAATGAAGCAAAACTGACCATTTTTTGACAGCTTATTCACTTTTACTTTACTCTCTCATCAAAATTCATCTGGTCAGCCTAAGATAATTAGTTTCTCATGAAATTGAATCAACATTTTTTTTCTCTCTTTTCTCTTTTCTCTTATCTTTATTCCTTTTCTCTCTTCATTTTTTACTCTTTTCTTCCTCATCTCTTTTCATCATTTTCTTCATCTTTCTGCTGTTCACTTTTCCACCAACTTTTTCCATGTTTTTATCATTATTATTACAACTATTATTATGCTGTCATATCCAGGCAAACAACTAATAAATCTCTATCAGTTAATTGTTCACTACATTTCATGTTTTTTTTATTAATCTTGTGATCTTCCCTGTTCAACCTTGCCTTGCATTTCAAATTTTCAGTACCATTTTTATTCTGCATTTCATGATGACTTTTTTCCACTCGCTTTTCCCTATTCAGTTTATTCATTCAACCTGTTCAACCTTACAAAGGGTTTTTCAAAGTTTGCCTTTTTTGACTTTTCCTGTCGCTATGCGCATTTCAATTTTCACTAATGTTGCTCAGCAAAGTCACTCTTTCTTATCCAGTTTGCTGATTTACTAAGTGTTCAATCCAAGTGACTAGGTTAATGCTTCTAGACCAAACCAGAGACAGTCAATAAATGATATTGAAAAGATGGAGAAGAAATGGAAAAATGAAGATAAATCTGGTTGAGATTAACTTGGATTGCGGATTGGCAGCAAAGCAGTCTTGATGTACTTATCAATTTGTACAATTGAGACAATTCTTTGGTTTTATCCGAGAGCTTTAGTCAATTTGGCAGGCGAAACATTCTTAGAATAGAATAAAAGAAACTCAATGTTCCAAAATGTTTATAATTGTGGCAACTAGGTTTATTGATATCGTGGCCAATGTAAAGGCAAACGAGTTAAAAGAAGTTACTGCTGGCTTTTCAACTGCTTCATTTTATCGGCACAATAAAGTTTATTCAAATTAAGTTCATCTTTTGTTACTCATAAGCTGCGTCATTGGTTAAAGTGGATGCCTTGACTTGGTGACATTGAAAATTCTGAGGTAAAGATAATTGATCTTTTTGTGTCACTTATCATTAAACATTTTAAAAGGTTGGAGGCCGATTGATAAGGAAGATAAATCAAGCATACTCATTGCGACTTAAGACTGGGAAAGTTTAGAATGACTCGGTTCAACTACTCAGAAGCACATTGAACATTGAAGTCAACTCACCTTAGTGAACTGTCGAATTTCTTGAGACTGTCGAATTGTTTGACCCGCAAATTATTCCTTGAAATTTTATGATGCAGCTTTTGTTGTTCAAAGATTGAAGATGCACAATTGAATTGGTGAAAGGCGATAAATCTGACGGAACAAGAAAAAAGTAAATTTAATAAGTTGGTTGCTGTAATATTGATATTGAAAGTGTTGCATCAAATGAGTTCGTGACGAAATTGAGAAACAAAAGAATTGAAAAAAGTGGAGTTTAAAAGTGATCAATACAAATACTCTGATTAAGGCTAACTTTGAGTTTTAATCCTGAACCGTTACAGTGCATTGAGTTCAAGATCAAGTTTCATGCAAGCATGATACCAAAGAGAATCAAAATTTTTGATTTCATATTGCTACTGGTAATCGTTAGTAGCTACATAGAATTTCGTTGTTCTTAAATTGTCCCGGTTCTTTATTGTAAAGAGACCAAGATCGTTAACACAACTCTACTCTCTGTGCTTTCTGAGCATCATTCAAAAGGCGTGGAACTTTTGTTGGCCAGTTTTCTCGGACCAATTTGGTTGGAAACAACATCTTGCATGGTGCCGATCGAAATTTTGAACATCGTTGTTGATTCCCGTCTGATTAATTTAGGATCTCCATCTAAGGCCGCTCTAAAGTTTTGCACCAAAGAGGAATAGTCGAACGGCTGCTCCCGTACATTTAAAGTATCCGCAATGTGAAAATCACTCCCAAAAATGGTTCTTTTTCTCCTTGGCGAATAACCATATTAGCTATTTGAATAACTGGATCTTTTTCGGGCTCAGGGAATGTACCTTTTCTGCTGGCACATTTAATACTGAAAGATAGTATTCTGAAAGGTACAACTTTTGCCCATTCACCTTCAGGCGCGTAAGATGCAAACTTGATCCAAGGTGTGTCAAATTCATATTGACAACGAAAATATTTTGCGTCCTTATACGATCTAACTGTGCATTCGCCAGCTGGAAGTTCGATCCAATCAAATCCAACAATTTTGGTGTCAACCATGAAACGAATAAAAAAGACAATGTTTCTTTCAAAGCATTGAATAGAATCTGATAGAAAGCCAAAAACAGCTCGTTATAATGATCGTGCTCAAGAGCTGACCAATTTAGGAAGAGCTACTGTTATTTTGATGAGAGGCACTTGCTCGTTGTTATTAAAACCATACATATTTGCCATTTGAACCAGCTCAACTTGAAGGACAAGTTCATTTATCAGCTCATTTCTGGCATCAGTTAAGGCTAAGGCTTACAATTTTTTCTGGAAGTTCGGTAGTTGCTCTTCTTGAAACCTGGTGGAGCCATTATGTAAAAATATGGATAGAAATCATACATATGTGCCATTACGAAATGACCTTCCAGGGTGACACCGTAAATACGAATGACGGACGCCAGAAAGTTTTAAGCACCAGGAGGATCATCTATATTATCATCGCAGTAATAAGCAATATTAATATTTTGAAAAATTATTGATGATGCTTAGGCGTTGGCCTCAATGAGCGCGCATTAGGAAGAATCCAACGATTGATAGCAGGGTATTTAGGTATCACCTGAACAGGATCTTCAACAGCAGTGAATTTATCTTCTTCGATCACTTCGTCATCCCACATGATGGCTCCGATTGAGTTACCAGCACCAGGCATACCCTCTTTATTATCACCAATATAATCCGTGGCGTTTGTTCAGATGGAGAACTTTAATAACCATTTGAGATAGAACTTATATTTATAACCAAAAAAGTTCGAATATAATATTCAAATATTAATATCCTACCAGATGGGTACATTGTTGATGTATTTCCTGTATTCTCTGCCGCTGATAATGATGCGCGGATTTTAAATGCTATCCTCAGTAGAGATGATCGGAAGATGAAGTAATTCTTCCACCGAGGCGACTGTTTTATTGTGGACAGAGGTTTGAGAGATTCCAATCATACCCTCCTCCCTAAAGAGTTTTAATGCCTGCATTAGCCTCATCAAAATCAAGATCTGGAAGGCGAACAATTCACGACTCAACAAGAAAATCAAACTCGCTTGGCCACAAAAATCCGGTGGATTGTTTAGGCTATGAACGGAAGACTGAAGACTAAGTTCAAATCAATAGATAATGTCCTTCAAAACACGTCTCTACCAGGACATGATGATCGAATGAAGATCATGGGAGCAATCTTGAACCGTTACCATCCTCATTTCATTAGTGATAGATGAAATGAAAAGATGATTGTTGAAAGTTTTTTGAAAAGGAAACATGTAGATAATCATGTCGGGAATTATATTTTGGACCCCGAGAATAAGCTTGAATGTCAAAAAAGAGACTTGCTGAAGCTTCTGATGATGACTTGTCAGAGTTTCCACGATTATCTTTGGATGACATTTACAGTTTAACGCTCGAGACTTATCAAATCCGAAATATTTATTCTTATATTAATGCCTGCCTCTACCACTGATGATGAAATTCCAATTTTTGTATATACCCAAACAATCAATGTCCCGGACTTGAAAAGATTGTACAGGGCATTTCAGCTAATTTTACCGTTGTATATTGGCTATATCTTTGCCCCTGAGTGACCTTGAGGTAGGATATTTGGTTTATGGAAAATTAAGCGATACTCAATTGTCATATTTCAAGGTCAAGGTCATTCAAGGGCATTGGTTTATTTGACCTCTAACTGATATCCAAAGGTCATTTCGTAAGAGTGCAAAATTTTTCAGATTGATTGATGCTAGTGACATGTTTATAACTCATTCTGGTCAAAAGATATGAATGTTTACATATTGTTGTGTTGATCAATTGGTTGTAAGAAAAATGCATTTATCTTTTCAACGGTAAGTGCTACTAACGCGTGGTAAACATCAAACAATCTGTAAATTTTTGCACTCTTAGAAAATGACCTTTAAATATCAGTTAGAGGTCAAATAACGCAATGCCCTTGAATGACTTCGCCCTTGAAATATGACAATTGAGTATCGCCCAAATTCCATAAACAAAATATCCTACCTCAAGGTCACTCAGGGGCAAAGATACTGCCAATACACAACGGTAAAATTAGCTGAAATGCCCTGTAGAGATGAAAAGACCGACGAAAATGAACAAAACTATTTTAATTTTCATGGTATTCTCTATAACCGACCAATATTATCGAAACATTTGACTTCTGAATTTTACGCCACCTTGCGAATTCAATTTTCCATGTTAAATTTGAAAAATCTATCAAAAATACTTTTTAATGCATTTCCACATGTTTGACATTCCTAAAAACCTTTATTGTCTTAAAAAAATTTTGAAAATTGGATTTTTCCCTATTTTTCGAATTTAGGTACACGAGTTTCTGTAAGCTTTTGAACATTCCTTGTACAATCAAGTGTGCTCTTTCGATTGACGCTAAAATTTCCTTGGCGTCACAACAGGCAGAATCTGTCACTGTCCTTTTCCACATCTTTTAGCCATTGTGCTGCATAAAAGGTGAGAACTATTCATCTAAGCAACAAGTTCATTGCCAAAAAGGATAACATCATTATGCGCATTTTATGAAGTATTTTGTTTGGAAGATGAGTAAAACCATTAAATAATATCTTTTTTGATGCGAAAAGCATGGCAGTAAAAAAGTTCAAGATAAAAGTTGAATACTCAACCTTTTTCGTTTTACGATTTTCCACGAATGGAACGATGTGACAAAAGCCATTGTAAATAAATGTGTAAATTAAGTTGCATCATCAATTGGAATTTACATGAAATTCAAATGAGGAATAACGAAAGGAAAAAAGAGAAGCGAAAAAGAAGACTAAATGCTAAAATAGAAGGGCAGAAAATGCTTAATGCAATGTTAATCAAGTTTTGATGGAAATGATTTTTTTCTCTTTTCTCTCTTATTCTCTAGTTTCCAATGGGAATTGTTAAACCAAAGATTGTTTAAAGCACAGAGACTGAGAGCAAAACATTGAACATTAATTTTCATGGTTTGGGGTTAATATTATTATTACATTAAACTAATGTTTTGCAACTCAACTTTTTTCCCTTTTTTACTCTTTTTGTTTCATTCATTATCATTATCAGTTGCAAGTACAAAGTTGGCTGCGATCAGTTTTTTGTTCATCATCTCTCATTGAATCTCAATTCTTTCAATGATAATGATGATAATTGGGTTAATCATTCATCAATTTAACCCAAATCAAGTGATGTTTCAATGCAACAACAAAATCCAAAGTAAAGGGCATTTAATTCACTTGTTTGTCGAGCACAAAATATAATAACATCAATCATTTTCATCTCTTTTCATTAATTAATATTTTGCCCAAATTTGCAAACATTGGTTGACATTAAATTGAAAAGTTTAATCGGGTCAAGATTTGCAAGAAAATGCCATTTTTTATTCAATCTGGCAGTTTATGTTAATTGTTTTGCTTCAAGATTCAAAGTTTTGGTTAATCAATGTTTAAAATCCCAGTAGCAAGTAAGAAAATTAATGTTGCAAATGAAGGTAATGGCAAAGTAGAGCAACAGCAAGATGAATAAAATGCTTTTCTTGTAAAAACAGCAAAATCCGAGTTTATTTAAACTGTGATTGATGATTTGTAATCTCTAAATCACAATTTAATCTGAATAAAGTAGAGTTTATTTAACAAGAAAATTGAATATCTTTGAGTTTGTTTTTTTCTTCCTGCAAAACTCTTTTCCTTTTGTTTCCCAAGTTTAACCTCTTTTGACCGACGATTGCCATTTTTGATGTTATATTAACCTAACCTTTAACCCAAGTAGCTTTGATCATCTTTATTAAATGCAACTTGCAAGTAAAAAACAACAACAGTAAAACATCACAACTTGAGCAAAGTTATGAGCAATTATGATTTTCGTTGAATTTTTCATAAGAATTTCAAGAGAAAAGTTTTTCGAGAAATTTTTCTTCTTAAACACTTTCTTATCCATTATCCAATATGCGTTGGTTCAATGTTTTGCTTTTACACTCTAGTCTTGAAGTGATTCAACGCCAACATAAATTGATTCAAAGTTGATTTAAAACACTTATCTTTAGTTGCATCGCTCTAACGTACTAAAGCCATCAGCTTTTGCCTGATTCTTTTGCAACTTTTTTCGTCTCTCGTTGTTGTTTCA